AAGAGGAGAGACAAAAGAAGAAAAGCAACAAGACACAACAAAAAATACAACACTGGTCAGGTTGATGTGGCCGATAGCTGCTCAACAGAAACATAGAGCTCCAGGGCCAGGGCAACCTGTAGAAAAGTACAGGGAGAGAGAGAGAGGACACACTATGGGAAAGAGGAGACACAAAGTTAGTGATGTGTAATGGTGGCATATAGAAGCATGGTGCAGTGTATAGAATTAATTCACAGGGAGAATCACTGCAGTGCCAATCATCATTTATTGAACAATATATGGTAATATGAATTCAGAGGGAGAGAAACAGAATCACCTGGAGTTTGGGATCTCTGCAGAGATTTGGGGTCTTTGTCTGTCTTCTGAAGTCTTCACATGCACCCACTCGCTCGCCAAGTCTGAGTCTGTCTTATCAGCTTTTGCAGCTGATTATTTAGCTCTCTCTATTTCTTAAACCTCCTGCAACATGTCAATCTTGACATCTAGCGGGCCCCCTCCCTTCTCACTCTATTCCTGGAAAACAGGACGCTGGACCCCATGTTCATGCAGAGGAAAAAGAACACAACAGAACAGAGAGTTCTGACCATACTTAGTCGGTATCACACTCTAGCCACTCCTGTAGTGGTTAGCAACAAATCAGACTCCAGAAGAAATATGCAATAGAACAGTATGTAGCTCATATTTGGTATTAGCTTGTGTAAAGGAGAGCTGAGTGGTCATTAAGTTCATGTGAGTTGGGCTTATGTAAGTGATCAAAATCTCCCCTGCTTACTTAGGATGTAACTAACACTGGCCTAATAAGTATTAACTATATTAAGTTTGCTTTTACCACTACACTTGTATGGTGGGCACAATGTTGTCGATACAGGTACTAATGTATCTGGTCACATACTCAGCATAATCCTGTACACTGACATAAAAGTCCTCTGAGGTGGCTGCAGCTTTAAACACATCCCAGTCTGTCAAGTAACACAGAATATAAGGCACTTTAAGCAGCAAATGCAGCAGTATAATAAATATATAAGAATGTAATAAGAGAATGTATGCTGCATGGGAGCAGCATGTGCAGCAGTCAACAGTCAATGTCCAATTATGCATGTGCAAACTGAGAATGCGAGGAAGGTGAGCGTTATGCATTTTATGAACTTCTCCCACTGGATTGCTCCTTCTTTAGCTCCCCGCGCTCACCGGGCAGGGGCGGTGGCCTGGCGGCAGTTTTTAAAAACAGTTTCAAATGTCAGCACCTCACAGTGGACTCCTACTCCTACTCCACTTTTGAGCTATAGCTGTTTGTGGTGGAGCTCTCTTTTCCACTGCTGTGTGCAGGGTTTTAACGTCCTCCTAAATTCAACAAG